ATCACACGATAATATCGTTATTGTGCTTTGCGTTGATAAAAATCAAAATTATTGTCCAATATAATGATGATCGGTTAGATTTAGCCACTACGTGGCTAAATATAACTGATCATCATTTTGGACAATAATTTTAATTTTTATCAACGCAAAGCACAATAACTTATAATTATCATCATTTTTTCATTAAACATAATCATCAAAAGTAATAATGTTTTGATTTGTAACAGCACTGAGTCTGCGGCTAAAAGAGGATTTGACATAATTTTTAATCATTATCATTTTGAAGAAACACCTTGGTTAAACCATCTGTCTGTTTTTGATTGATCGTCAATAGATAAAAAGCCATTTACAATGTTTTGAACAAAAAATTTTTTTTTATATCGGATTAATATTTAACATATTTGAAAAGTTTTATAAAATAAAATAACTAATTAAGGACGTAAATCTGATCCGTTTGGAGAAATCCAAAACCAGGTTCTTCCTTATACAACTTGATACGACATCAATATTTGGTGTTGAATTAATTACAGGAATCAAAATAACCATCATCAGCAATTATGCTAGGCAGTTCCATGTATAGAAAATAAATTAATAGATATGAGTAAATAATGAAAGTAATAAATTTTTTAAAGAGTGTCTATTGCGGTACCAAGCCAAATGTTATCTTAATATTTGTAAAGAACATTAAATCGATTCTTATCTAACAACATATTATAGAAAATCCAGGAACAAGATGATTAGAGTGAAATATAAAATGGGGTTTCCACCTCCATCTTAATCTCATAGCTAAATTGGTCAATTTGTCAATGGTCATAGTAAATTCGACTTCTTTGTTATATTTTACCATTTAATGTTAAACGAATAACTGCCCACCTTTACTTATTCCGAAACTTTTACCTTCGGCGTACTTTACCACCAGCTAAATTAGACGTGAATTTACCAATAAATTAACTAGCTTATTTCTTTGCAAGTAGGACAAAAAAATAAGGTAATCAATATCATTTAAATAAGTCGTTAATACATTTTACGAATATATTTTTTTCAATTACAATTTTTTTTTTTTTATCGAAGGTTCGAATCAAATATTTATTACTTAACATATTTAATATAAAAAATAAAAATAAAAAAAAATAAATATAATAATAAATAAAATAAACCAATTAAATTTTCTTAATACAGATACCATAAGGACGTAAATCTGCCCCATTTGGCGAAATCCAATATTCACCAACACCAGTTTCTTTCTTTGTAAGCCTAACTAAATTATTTGGATTAACCCGATTTTGAAATACAACTTGATATCTATCTCCCTCATGAGTGAATTGAGTAGCATATGCAGATGCGACGTCAATATCTGGTGTTGAATAAATTCCATGTCCAAATATGAATCGTTTACATTTACACAAATCATAACCTTCTTCAGCAATTGATTTACAATTATGTTTGGCAGTTCCATGATAAGAAACTTTGAAGTAAAAAAAAAATTTTAAATTAATATATAGGAATAAATGACAAATAATTTTTGTTAAAAAATGCAATTATACCTGGCAATTCATTTTGTACCGAACTTGTTAAAGAGTATCTATCGTCAACGCCAAGCCAAATATTATCTTCATATTTGTCAAGAACATTAAGGGCGATTCTTTTCCAACCACAAGGACGTCTATATTTAATATTTCCTCGTACAAAGACCTCCAATAATCATGTATATTTGTAAAATCATAATCGAATCTTGGAGCAAGATGATTATGAGGAAGATATAAAGTGGGACTGTTGAACAAAGCTCTTTGATCATATCTGTTAATTCTAGTGAACCTTCCGCCACCACCTCTCAATCTCGATACTAAATGTAAGGTCGATTCCTTTTCTATATTATATTCATTCAAAGTACGTCCATCTTTTAGTTCTTTACCAGCAAAAATTAATCCTTGCTGGTCTGACGGTATACCTTCCCTATCTTGAAATAATGATTTTACTAGGTCAATTGTCATAGTAAATTGGACTTCCAATGTTATAGTTATACCAGATAAATTTTTAATGAATAATTGTCCACCTTCGCCTAATCCATTTAATCTTACGCCAGCGTAAGGTACCCTACCACCGACTAAATGAGACTGATGAAGAGATTTTTGATCCAATTCATTGCAATAACCTCCATTACCCTTTAAATAGTCGTCATAAGTAATAATATTCTGATTTGTAATAGCACTGAGTGCTGCGGCTAAAAGGGGTTTGACATGATGAGCTGTGAAAACAAAAAGAGCAGCAGTTATATTGTTATATTTAAATCTTTTTTTTTTGTACTCCCATTCTATGTGCCTATTTTTGATTGCGGTGTTGAATTAAATAACTTACCAAATATGGTATATAATTATTGTTGCATAATTTCACATAAAACATTTTAGTGTAACATCAATTGATTTTATATTTGGTGAATTTTGAAATGTTTAAATGTTTGTGTAACACGCGTGAAATTCTATTGGGTGATCAATATTACAACAAAACCCGTAATAAGATTCTGAAACAGAAAAATTTTCAATTTTCACAAATGGAGTTTACTCCAATTTCACAACAAAATCTTTCAATCCGAGAAAAAACTGAAAAGCACGCACTGCACACAAACTATGAAATTCTTGAGGCATTGATGGAAAAATTAATTGAGTAATTTAAAACTCTTTTTTTCACTCAGATAATGTTTAATAAAAAAATCATACGTCAATTCGTAATGTCTTAATAAGAAAAGTGTATATTTATGAGATTTTTAGACATAAGACATTGGCACATACATTCACCTCATTGACCATTGAAAATGAGTTATTTGGATTTTTTTCTCCACAAGGCAAAAAGAAATGAAATGAATTATCAAACCCCCATATTTCCAATATCATGTGACTATAATAATTAATTAAATTTGGGACGATGAGCTAATCAAGTAAGGAGAACAGTAAATAAATGTGTGTTTTATTAAGTTTCTTTTATTACTATATACTATCTGCTAGCAAATTTATTAGAATAATAATTTTCTATTCCTCGTAATTTATAACATCAATACAATAAATACACTTCAAACTTATTTCTGATAAGAACATTGTATTTGTTTTAGCCCGGAAAAAATAATACTTTGATGCAACCAACAAAAAATTAATGATTCAAAATCGAATAATTATTTTAAGATGTCAAATTAATTTGATAAATAATACATAACAGATAAATAATTAAAAATACAGTATATAGTATACAATTGTTAATGTAAAAGGACGAAATTTAAATATAAAATAAAATTATTCACCAATTTTAATTGGGAAATATTGATTCGTAAAGGTTCTTGTTTAATTATAAATAAAAATTATTCACCAATTTTAATTGGGAAATATTGATTCGTAAAGATTCTTGTTAATTTATATTTGACGTAATATGTGGCAATTATTGCTTGTGACATGGAGATGCACAGACATTAGTACTAGTACAATCTTCTTCAGGTCTATGTTGCTTGCATGAACAGATGCAAGACTGGCATGGATCTGGATTGCCTAAACATGAATTCTGAGGATAGACTTCCACAACCAAAAATGTTAAGAAAAAAAAGTAAATGAAAATTTTGAGTGGAGTAATAGAGACCATTTTTATGATGAATATGGACTTGAAAAGAAATGATTTATTTTTTACTAGGTCAAAATTCGATGATATTTATAAGAAAATATAAATTTACTGATATACTAATTTTTCTCCCCATATTTAATATATTTAATCTACATTCGCCAATGATATTGTGAATATAATATATTTAATCTACATTTGCCGCATATATAATATTTATAGGTCCATAAGATCGACAATTTTCATTAATAATTTAATATATTTAATCTACATTCGCCAATGAGATTGTGATTTTTTCCGCATATCTTAATATATTTAATCTTACACCTATTTGGTACGGCAAAAATAACGGTCCATAAGATCGAACAATTTTCATTAATAATTTAATATATTTAATCTACATTCGCCAATGAGATTGTGAATATAATATATTTAATCTACATTTGCCGCATATATAATATTTATACCTATTTAAAATAACGGTCCATATGATCGACAATTTTCATTAATAATTTATCTACATTCGCCAATGATATTGTGATCGCGTTTGAAAATCGCCGTGGAATCATTATGACTGCAACATTTATTGTCCGGAGCGTAGCGAAGGACTATATATGATTATTTATGCAAAGTGATGTCAAATAGTATCGCGTGCGATATCTGTTTACCCAAGTGAACCCGCTAAGGAAGGTTTATTTTTTTTACTAGCAAGAGTTAAAGAAATAATTACTAATTTACTAATCAAATTTTCTTTTAAAACTTTTAATAGATCTTTAATAACTGAAGAAATATTTTGCATATTTATATATGCATATTTTATATCATTTTTATTTACAACAGTTCATTTTTCATCAATTAATTAGTTACATTTTTTATAAGCTTCTTATTTTTTTTCATACTTACTCAATTATTCTATCTGCAGTATAATCAGAAACTATTACTAATTTGCTTTTTCAAAAATCTACAAAAAAATTCTTTTTAAGATTTTTTAAATATGAATTCCTGTTAGTTAGAAAGCAAATGAACATTCATCTCAATCAGCAATATTTTCAAAGGTTTGCCTTTTGTTTGAGATTTTTGTTTGATTAATTTATAGAGAAAATTAATATTATTTTAATTTATACCTTTATTATTATAAATTAGCTTTAGACGAGTAAATATCTTTGTATTTATCTTTTATAAATAGATGAATATTATTATAAATGTATTCTTACTTTTGTAATCTAAAAGAGATAAAGTTAACAAAAGCTTTAATTACTTAAAAATATAATTTTTCTTAATTTTCAATACCGTAGAGCACTGACTAAACTACCCCCCTCCCCCCGTGTAAACTACCCCCTAGGGTTTTGGACCAAAATTTTGTAAGAAACCCGGATATTTTACATGGTGTTTTTTTTTTTGAAATGAGTAATAGGCAATTTTATTGATATTAGAATTATAAAAGAATATTATAAGCCCTAAGTAATCTTTTTTTTTTTATTAAAATTCCAATAAGACAGCAAAAATTTAAAATCTAATTTTTTTTTTTCAAACTATCAAATTATATATATAATAAAGAAATTATTAACAACATTATTATAAAACTTAGACAAGTGATAAACCAATACAAAAAGTATCGGGATCATAAGGAAAAAAAACAAATTTTGTAAAAACCATTAATTTGCAAATTACAACTATTAAAATTCATCCCAATTATTATAATTATCTTCACCATCCTCCCCTTC